AAGTTTTCTCAGTCTCTTCCCTAGTCCTTTGCTAGTCCTGCTGCCCAGAGGCAACCACTGGTATACTCTTTCTCTACCACTGATACTTTTTTTGTTGGTTTTTGAGACAGAGTCTCACTGTCTAGTTCAGGCTGGCCTCAAACTCAGATCCTCCTGCCTCCACCTCCTGAGTACTGGGATTGTAGATGTGGGCCACCATGGCACCACGACTGGCTTCCCTGGCCTTTTATTTAAAGTCACATTTATTTTGAGACAGGATCTTGTTAAGTTGCTCAGGGTAGGCTGGAACTTTCAGTTCTTCTCAGCCTCAGAGAGTATTGGGATTAGAAGTGTATACCACCATGCCTGGCCCTGTCTTTTACTTTTTCAAGTGATTGTTTTGTATTAACATCTTATTCTGAGTTGTTTGTATTTATGATTTGGAGGAGAAATACAAGAAAGACTAGGAATTAAAAAAAAAAATTGGAGCTGAAGGTATAGCTTATTGGTAGACTGACTACTTGCCTGATACCATGGGTCCCTGAGTTTAATCTCTAGCAGTAGGAGTGGCATGGAGAGATGGGGGAGTTAGCAGGTAACTACGCTATACTAAACGTATTTTTCATTATTGTCTGAAGTTGATCTTTTATGAAGAGTTTAGTATCACGAACTGTTTCATTTATACTAAGCATTTTCACTCTATGTAGATAATAGAGATATTAGTAAATACTGCTGTCTGATTTATCTTTTCTTTTTTTTTTAAATATTTATTTATTTTTATTTATTACATTTATTTATTGTGTGTGTGTGTGTGGCCAGCTCAGCCCACCAGGGGGCGGGGCTGGCTGGCATGTGGTGCTGGAGGATCGAACCGCGGTCCCTGTGCTTTGCCAAGCTTGTTTCAAGTAGGTGCTTTAGACCACTGAGCCATCTCTCCAGCCCCTGATTTATCTTTTCTTGAAAATATTTTCTCATTACGTCTTTTAGTACCATGTGTTGTGGACTCCTATTAAATTTCGTCAGATAACAAGGGGGTAGAATTAGTAATGGAAACCAGACCTGTTGAAAAAATTTTATTGTTGTTATTCTACAAATTGACAGTATGATTGCCTTTTTTGTAATCTTTTTTTGAGGCCTGAAGATGCCTTTAGGGCATTTCTGGTTTGCCGTGACTATCTGGGGGGTTCGAACCACAGAAGCTTGAGCTTGAGGGCTTTTTTTTTTTGTTCCTCGAATGCCTTCAGGGCACTTTTGGCCAGGGGGAGAGGTTTGAGGGCTTTTTTTAAGCAGGCACTTAAACAACCGACCTATTGGGCAGGCCCCCTTTTTTGTAATTTTATGACTTCATATTGCTATTTTCTGACTTCATATTTTATTCAATTGTGGTAATTTGTGTGTGTGTGTGTGTGTGTGTGTGTGTGTGTAGTCAGTACTCAATTATGTATTTTAGCTTTAAAGGCTCAGCAAAATTTGGGTATTTTGGTATCATTAATGGACTCATAGGGGCTGGTGAGATGGTCTCATAATTTGTTCTGATTGACAACTTTTCTGCTAATTTTAAAGATTTTCTTTTGATATTGTGAAAAAATTAAATATGGCCTAAAATAATAATTATTATTATTTTTATTTATTTATTTATTTTTTTGCGGAACCGGGGATTGAACTCAGGCCCTTGCGCTTGCCAGGGAAGTGCTTATTCCATTGAGCCATCTCCCCAGCCCCTGGCCTAAAATTATTGTGGTAAACGTAGACATTCCACATACAGATATGTAGCAGGGTAGAAAAACCCTGTGGCATTATGTGTAATGAGGAGCTAGAGGAGTTCTAAGGGCGGAGTGTGCCCTTGTTTTAAGTGGTCTTGGGAGGTGAGCATGGGCCTGGCCTTGAAGGTCAATGATGTGAAGTGTGGGGGAGGAGGGGTTACCAGGACTGTGGTGGAGGAGGCTTGGAACAAAGCTGGGGGCAGGGAGCAGTGATCAGGGTCAGCAGAAGGAGCTTGGGCCAGAACAGAACACAGGGTGTTCCTGAGAGTGCCCACTTGTACTGGGCTGGCTGCTAGTGAAGGGATGCACACTCCTGGTGCTGCTACACATTCAGATGTAAACACTATTACCCTGGCAGGGAAGTGCATGTGAGTAAAAGTGACCAGGACTCTTAGGTTTCAAGCACTGGAAATGCCAAGAGTTACATTGAAGCCCAAAGGATTTCAAACTTCAGGGCACATTAAGATCCTTTGGAAGGCTTGGTCACTCTGGTGACTGGCTTCTCTCAGATATTTGTACAGGGCATTTGAGATGAGACCTGGAATTTGCCTTTTGACTTGTTCCAGGTCACAGTGGTAATGCTTTCTTTCAGAGGGTGTCACTTCAGTTACATAGCTCCAGTGTACGGCAAAAAGAAAAGGAAAAGGTTTCATGGGCACACTAGAAAATAGAACATTGAAAACCAGCAACAAGCTGGGTATGGTGCCTGGCCTGAACCGAAAGTCAGACCATGCCTCAAAAACAAAACAAAACAAAAGAAACCTAAAAAACAAAAAAAAGAAAAACCAACAATTCCCAAACAACTACCATTAGACTCCTTCTACTGTTGGAATAGGAATCCCTTAACAGTTTATTGTATTCAGTACTTGTTATTGTTTGGGATCTTGAGAGCTTTTTGGAAGCCTGACTCTGTCTGATGATTGCTTATGAGGGTTAGAGTGGTGTTACCTTGAGCTAGAACTTTTGCCCTCATTTGTGAGTCTTTTCCATGGGAATTCCTCTGAGCTCTGGGGTCATCCCTGTTTTTTCTTTTTCTTTTTCTTTTTTCTTTTTTTCCTTCCAGCACCAGCAGTCTTTGGTTGCCAAGGTCAAGTGAAGGGGAATTCAATAGCTTCAACTCTGAGGCCGGTGTCCACCGACTTGCTGGATGCTAGATTCCAAAAACTCCGTTTGTTTTTTAGCTTATACCAGAGGCCATATAGTAAGTGTTGGAAGGATGCAGATGCCAAAACAGGCATCAGTGAAGTCCTTCCTGTTGAAAGTCATACTGGTGAACCCCACCATGGGGGTTAAGGTAACAGGGCATGGTGGCCTCCAGGATTACCATTCCCCTCTGGGGTACTATAGCACGGTTAAGTGGCATTGTGCCTGTACAGAGTTTGTGAGGAAAGGTTAACTTATCTTTTTCTCTTGCTTGTGACTGTTGAGTATAAATTTCATGATGTGGGAGTCTGTGTTGTATGAGGTTAGAGTTTGATCCTGCGAAGTTGTGTCAGAAAGTTGGTGGTGGAGGCTGCCCAGCAAAGCCCAGGCTTCTCATGGAGAGGAAGCTGCCATCTGGAAGTACAAGGGCTTAAATTGTTTGTTTGCTTATTTATTTATTTGGTACAGGGTCTCAGCAGCTCGGACATATAGTGATCCTCCTTCTAAGCCTCCCCAGTGTTAGGATTACAAGTGTGCACTGCCATGCTCAGTTTCAGTGGCTGACACAGTGCCCCTGGGATTCTGGGGCTGGCATGGAATGCGGTACTGATGACTAAACTTGGGTTCTTGCACTTGCCAGCCAGATACTTAGACCGCTGAGTTATCTCTCCAGCCTGGGCTTATACTTCTTTTCTTTTCTTTTTTTTTTTTTTTTTGCAGAACCGGGGATTGAACTCAGGCCCTTGAACACTTACACTTTTTTAATTGATGAACTTTGTTGTTTCTAACACATTTTTTGCAGGAATTATGAA